AAAGAAGCTCTCTATTTTCGCATATCATGTAAGGTGCTCGAGTTATGACCTAATGAAAGATGGGAGTTTCCTATGAATTTCTCTTTTTCCCCAAAATATATGATTTTATTCGTAAAAATTTTGAATCTAAGAGATTATATAGTACTCCATAGGATTTGTTTTCTTAAAAAACTCTAATGTTTGTTTCCTTGGCATCAATTGTAATGATGTTAAGCTAAACAATTAACGAAAATATCTATATTCAGCAAAACTTTCGCACAAATCATATATAATAATCATATATACAATCCGGTGAGTTACAATTTTGACACGTGTCAAGCTCTCATCGCGCGCATTCTACTTTATATAATAAGATTCATGCAACATTGAATTTATTAGTATTCTCACTTGAGGATCAATATAGGCCCAATGGGCTACATTAAGCGTAGAGAAAATAAAACTGTGTATTTGTAGAGTAAGGTTAACTAAGTTAATTGGATAGTAGGGCAGAAGGGGAATGTGGAGAAGGGCAAGGCCTGCTTTTGAGGCTAATTAATCTGTATGTCAAAACTCCGATAATGGCTCCGATCACCGGAGCCGTCATGTAAATCCATAAGTCCTCAAAGTCCCATGCCACCACCGCGGGTCCTAGTGATCGAGCTGGGTTCATTGACCCTCCTGAAATCGGTCTGACCATACCGTATCCCAAAAAACGTTAGCATTACAATATTTATCTTTCATAGTTTACGATAGTAATAATTCAAACGCGATTTTGAGTTTGTTTATGTTTACGTCTATTTGAGAAGCAAATACTAAAATTAAAACCATTTCAAGTTTTTCAAGTTTTCCATGTTTCATGAGTTATAAATGTAAAGGCCAAACGCAAATGTAAGAAGACGCTAAATGTAAACGCATGCAAACAGTAAAAACCTATGTTACATAATTGGCAAGTTTCTTTACGGTACCCGGTAATAAGCACTCCAAGGGAAATGACTGTTCCAATCACGAACCCCGTCAAATTACCCAACTGTACAAAAACAACATATCAATCAAATTATTAACAAATACAATATGTAAATTTCTTCAGACAATGTGTGGATCACAATGCTATTTTTAGGTGTCTTATTTACATAACGAAAAAACTTTTTTAAAATAATTAATTAAGAGATTTGGGGATTTAGGGATTTGGCGACCTTCATTGATCCTATCATGTTTAATCTTTTTTCATGTACTTTTAATCTTGCTAAACTGGCTTTAGTGGCTTTGAGCAGAATGTAATCGAATTTTAATTGATGGAAGTAACGTTTGTGACAAAAAAAAATAATAATAATAATTAAGAACCACAATGCTATTTCTGGTCACTTACATTTTGATGAGGACCGCAATGCAACGCGGAGGCGAGAAATACAACAATGCTAGTAGCAATGAGTTCAACGCAAAACGCAGAAACGCAGCTTAAAGCAGGTTTTGTTGCCATTAGATCAGCGTTTACTCCGTAGACTGACACTCCAATTAACGTTGCCGCCGTTGCCCCCAACGTTTGCGCCGTTATATATAATGGAACCTGACAATAACAAGAATGTTCAAGACTGGTGACATTGAATTGTGTGGGGGATACAAAATTGCGTAATGCAGTTCAGTGTAAATGCGGTTCGTGCAAGATTATGCGGTATGCGGAACTACTGCGGTTTTGTAAAAAAGCTGGACAAAAACAAAATTTGATTGGTAAAACATATTATACTGCACAAAACAACTATTTGGATAATTTTATCTAATAATTGGAGTGACCAAAACAATTTTTTTCTTCAGATAATATTAGATTTTAGTGATATATTTGATGCATATTTTTTCAAAATTTTTAAAATAAAAAATGAGTAAAAACCGCACTTGTATATGTTATATGGACGAGAAAAGGTGCGTGTCAAATATTGTTGTGCTTTTCTTTAGATTTGTTCATGTACTTTTATTAAAGGCGGTACAACATTTCTTTTTAATTTTTTAATCATAATACGCTTACACTACAATTTTGTTATTGATTGGTGTAATGAAATGCGGTCACGGAAAACTACACCAAAAACCGCATTACGCCATGTTACCAATCACTGCCTGTACATAAAAGTTTTCTCTTCTCGCTTGCGTCTTCATTTATATATGAAAAAAAAAACTATACAATTGTAACATGTTAAAAAAAAAACTATACGATTGCAATATGTAAACGCAAACGCAAACAAAAATTCAACTACAATTCTTAGTAATGTGGATATGCTATATGGATGCATTGTACCTGAGACCAAGGAAATCCGCCAAAGACGGCAAAAGCAATGGTAATGGAAGGGTTGAGATGAGCGCCAGAGATGTGACCGATGGAGTAAACCACGACCACCACCGATAATCCAGCGGTTGCGGCGTATTCTAGCAATCCGACATGGCCGCCGGATAATTGGGTACTGGCTATGACCCCACACACACTAAACATTAGAATGAATGTCCCCACCAATTCCGCCATTACCTAGGCATTATTCCAAATAAATTAGCATTTCTATTTACTTCAAAATATTTTCCTTATCTATATAAATAAACATGATCATATTTTCGAATTTTATGTTTTTGCTCAATTGTTTTTCTTTTTCTTTGACCAAACATATATGAAAAAGCTTACAATGCGTAGGGGATTGAGATCTATTTCGTAAGGGAGACATCGAAACAGCCTTTGTGCTCTCAATGTAGATGGAGTTGAGCCAGCTTCTTGGTCAACTACTCTTGAACTTGCTTCACGATTCATCTTCTTTTCCTTAAGATGGGTGATCAAGAATCGAGGACAGTCACGAGGTGGCTGGATCGGTTTTTATGAATGATCTGATCTAGAACCAAAAA